GCCGGCCCTTTATTGCATCCAGGTGGCTGTTGAAGAAATGCTGGCCGGCCCTAAATGTCCAATAAAATGCAAGTGGCACCTTCAGGGGTGGACAGGGTCAGTGCACCTGTCTGTGGACGAAAGCTCCCTTCGCTCCCCCTTGTCCAAACGGTTTGATGTCAAACGTTACACTGTGTTGTGCCACAACCATGCCCATAGAGGGACCCGGCACAAAGGCCCGAGAGGTCAGGGGGCAACTGGGCCAGAGCCAAAACAACCACATAGAAATGCAAACCGGCTACAAAGAGATGCAAACAACCAAAAAGATATATGTATATATTTAAAAAAAGAAATGGATGCGAAACGACCCCAAAGAGATATAAAACAACTGAAAAGAGATGCGAATGACTGCAAAGAGACACAAATCTGCTGCATAGGAAGACAACATAAATCAAAAGAAAAACAAAGCAACTTCAAAGAGACACAATGTGACCACAAAGAGTTACGAAACAACCTCAAAGAAACAAGCTGACAACAAAGAGATGCAAAAAGACTACCGAGAACTGTGGCAAAATGTCAGAATACAAAAGACACACACAATGACTTCAAAGAGACACAAAACAACTACAAAGATACAAAGAAGTACAAGCAGCACATCAGCATTGTTTGTAGTTGTTTTGCGTCTCTTTCAGTCGGGGTGTCTTGCTCCTATGTAGGCGGGCTGGGGGGCTTTTACATGTCTCATAATGCATCCATGGCCATGCCAGCCACATGTCATCTCATCTCCTTTAAAATAAATACAGAAGTCAAAGTCATTTTTCTGTTATTATCCTGTTGTATTAATGCACAACTAACTGGTGCATTAGGGGTATGCCAGTTGAAATGATGCTGATCACTTCCCATTTGTTTACAACTGCTTCACACGTATGTGAACAGTGGCAGCAGCCCCCCTTCATCTGTCCAGCCTGGTCTCTGTCCAAAGAGAGAGTTAATTGTCCCCCAGGTTGTGGAGAGACCTGGACGGTGTATTGGGCCTTTGATCTGACTTGAAAGGAGTTAATTGATTTCTGTGTTACGGGGCAGTCTTAGGCGGATGAGAGAAAAGAGATGCTTGCTGGTCATTTCACAACATGTGGAGGAATATCTGAGAGAGAAAGAGAGAGGGAGAGAGGGAGGGAGGGAGGGAGGGGATGAAGAGAGAGATCACCTCACACCCGACTCCATCCTTGCTCAATTACAATAATTTGATTCACATGGGCTGGCCGCTGTGGCAGAGAGAGAGAGAGAGAGAGAGAGAGAGAGAGGGGAGGAGGGCCGCTGTGTGGGGGAGAGGGGATCCCTGCTCTGGGAGATCACTCATCTTACCTCGAGCTGAGGTACAGAAAGACAGATTTGATGTGAGCCTCCCCTCGGAGTGCAGCCTGGGGGCTTGTTAAGGTGGCAGGTATGAAGAAGACCACACGTCCAACCCCCCCGCTTTAAATCTCAATGGGGCATTCCAAAATGTGATGACGTCAACACGGAATGAAGAGACAAGACTGCTGGAGGTAACTGGAGGAGAAAGTGTTTTAACTTTCATACAACTTGTGTTTGAATAATTCCTCTTCTTACAAAGCTTTTCCTGTTTAAGGTCATGGAAGGTTCAGCCTGTCCCAGCATGCACTGGGGCTGAAGGAATCGCACTAGGAAGCACAATTCCTCTGCTTCCTGTTTTTTCTTGTTATAAAAACACGAAGAACGTGAACATTGGGCTTTACATCTTCCATCAGTGTGATTTGCTACACAACCTGCCTGTGAGTCTGTTCACCATGGGTCCAGGTCTGGTCTGGACCTGCTTTGACAGGTTTCCTGCCATCACTCCTTCACCTCTCTCCGTCTCTGGTCACCCCTGCTCAGGGGGAAACGGGGCTGTCAGAGGGAGAGTGGCAGGCTAAGCCTGTCTTAACACAGCACCTCAAACCACCTCATAAATACAGGCTTCCTTTTCCAATTTCCAAGCGGCCCATCCACCTCTGTCTACATGCTTACACACTGCTCCATGTCATGCGCCGGGGTGTGAGTTTAAAAATGACCACGGGACATCTGGCCGACTCACAGAGGGTGGGGCTTTGATGTGTTACTCTGCATTGCAGCACGACTTCAACCGAGCAGCCCAGCAGCGAGGAGCGTAAAGTGGGCCTGGTGGGTTAGAGATAGCGAGGGAGTTTAAAAGATGTCTTGAAACAGATTTTCCATATGTGAAATGCTTAAGAGACACACTAGTCTTTAACTACTCCTCTAGCCTTTAAACTGCCGCACAGCTTACGGACGAAAAAGGTTGTTTCCATTTTAATTTTAAAATGTGGTCTCTGAAAATCATTATTGTTTTCCATATCATAAAGTGGAGTGAAAGGAAAAGTGAAACCATGTGAGGCAGCTTTTTGATGGGCGATGCAGGGCAGGGCTCAGGAGGGAGTTGTGGTTCTGAAGGCTCTGTGCCCATCTGGAGACTTTGGCTTCACTGCTTCTCATACCAAGAACACAGAACCGGTGATTAGCTTTATCTAAACACTCGCATCTGACCCGCCGAGCTAACGCCAGACTCGACCAGCTGAATGCTCACATTGAGCACAATACGAAGATGTAGAAACGGGATCACACAATGGATAAGGCTGGCAAAAATATATAGGTTTTTGTAATGGTCGATGACTGGTAGCCTCTGTTTTAATACGTTGAACAGAACTTAACACACTTGGTAGCATCTCAGCTACCAACTTATTCTATTTTAAAAATAGAAAAAGAATATGTAGCTTCCTTTATTTTCCTGGACAACTGAAAACTGCAGTTTTTATCAAACGTTACTTTAACAGGAATTATAGTATTTTCTTAGGAACTATTTTCAGCTGCGGATTTGGTAAAGCAGCAGGACTAAGTCCAGGGAATGGACTCAAAACAAACTAGAATGAACATTGCACCCAGTGCAACGGGACGGCTCACTGATTTTAATAGTGTCTGGACAACAAGAGCTCCGTGGCCCGGAGCAATAAGCTACTGTATATCAAACTGTGGCTATGCAGATAATGCTCGTTAGTAAGATTCTCCATTGTTGGTTTGGGTCTTTTCACTGGGTTTTTAACAATAAGAAAAATATAGAATATTAATTTATCTTTTAAGATGCAGCTGTGCATCTCTTCTAAATATTGTTTTAATTTTCCACATCACCTGAAATGTCATTATACATAATCTGCTATGAATAACATCCAGTCTAAACACTGGGAGGTGAAACAACATACACTTGAACTGGATTTAGTGGTTCATATAATAGTGACATTATTAGTTGTTACGTTTCTCTGACGTGTTTCACTGAAGAGTACTAGTGGAGAATGGAGAGCTTTGCTCGTACAGCCCGTGTGTGAATCTGGATACATATGGCATACTGTACACATGCACTCTATGCGCAGCAGGGAGGAGGGCTGTCGCAGCCTGTCACTGTGCTCTAGGGCTTCACCGACATGAGTGTCACCTTCATGAAGGAGCGTGAAAGCTGTTTCCTCTGCAGAGGATTCTTCAGACCGTCGCTCTGATCCCTGCGGCAGAACAGAGGAGTTAACGCAAGCGCTGGTGGATTGTTGTCATCTGCTGTGCGCCTCATCAATCACCTGTGAACGCCAAAATCCAGGAGAAAACAACCCCTGCATTGTTAGCAGAATCAATAAGTTCACCAAGTCAAATGAACAGCAGGGACATTAATCCATTAATGAGGTTCTAATACTAATTACACCTGCAAAAATGTGCAAATGGCTTCTGACAACTTAATTAGTTGCAAATGACACATGTGATGTTTTGGTTTTCAAGTGTAAATTCTGCTTCTGAACAAAAATAATAGTCCGTTTCGGAATTAAATATTTTGTTGTGCTTTGGATATTTAGAAAATGAAGAGTTTGTGGATATAAAATACTGCAAGATAGTCAATTTGTCTGCTGTTCTTTCAAAACCATTCTCCATACAGCTGTAGATAGTACAAGATATTAAATAATGAATAATAAGATATTCACAGAGCTGAAACTTGTTCTATTCTCTTCTTAAAGACCTGACTCAGGAGAGGAGTCACTGCTGACGTGGGCGGGCGTCTGTGGTAAAAGGCTCCTGCGCCTCAAAGCTCCGCTCGTTGTTGCTGCACGCTGCTCTTGATGAACTTCGTGATGGATAGATGCTTCCACTGGAAAATGAACATCAGAGGAGCCTGTTTGCGTGTGATGAGGCCGCTTCTCTGTTCCCTTTTGTCCTGCCTGACTGCTACTCACTGTCAGCACGGTCCTGTAACGCTGATGAGCAAAATGTGAGTCACGGCAAACAGGCTTTTATTAATTAATCTGTTTAGGGGTATTAATTAGCTCGGTGTATTTTGGGCATGACATTCATTGTGAGACTGAGTAACATAAGACAGAACACACATTTAGAAAAGTCAGGATAAATAAGTTGTACATCTTTTAAAATGTAATTGGCACAGTTGGCACAGTACATCATCAAAAATACCTCAAGTATTGAATCATCGTTAAAATACGTTCATTGTCTTAAATTACACAATTTACAATTGCGGTGCATCCCGAACGTTCTCTTAATTTCAACACTACATTATTTCACAAGTAATCCATCTGTAGTGATTCAGTCGACGTGGCTCCCTGCCGGGTGTGAACGCTGGGTGGGAGGTTACACAGCAATGCTTCGCTCTGTGGTGAAGTTGTACTGAAACTGCAAGAGAAGGATGAGTGGGGGGGGGGGGGGGG